TGCAGCTCTGTGACCAGCTGTGGCTGGGACCATCCAACTCGCAGGCCCGGCGGTTCTGTCTGGACAGCTGTGCGTTAGTGAAGAGGTTGGGAGGGGACTGTGCACGTGGTGAAAGCTTTAAAAATCTCTTATGTGCCGCAGTGTCCTGGCCACCAATTCCTCATCCTCCTTCTGTGGTCAAAAGAGCTAGAATTGTGTGTACATTGCGTTGGGTGACAGAAACAGGGAACTGGACGCTTGGCCATCAAAGTTGATCATGTGTCATTAAAGTACAGGAGAGGGATGGAAATGTGAGGCTCATGAAAACCCTCTCGAGACACGTAATATTTAGTATTGTTCATGAAAGTGAATTAAGATCATGCAAAGGAATGGCTGATAGAACTGAAAATGTATGTTGGACAAATTTTGTTTAATTGAATCTTTTTCTCACTGAGCCATCTGGAACAATAGAGAAAATTAGCCCTTCTGAATAATGGGGTTTCCCAGAGAACTCTAGGTTTACCTCTTATTGGAGTTAACAAAGCATGTAATGTTTTACTTTTTTGGGTGTAACTCTATCTTCAACAAAGAATACATTGAAACTAAATCTTTCCTCACACTGCCCATCGTTACCCCACCGTGCGTGCGGCCCACCGTGTGCCCCATGCTGACAGGGAGTGGCTGCTGTCGGCAACGGTCCTTTTTTTCCCCTCCAGATCTCTCGAAACCTTGGTTGGCTCTCTGCCACTATTCTTAGTGACCTCAAGTCACGTTGGATTTTTTTAAAAATCTGCTCTTTCAATATTCTGTGTATCCCTTTTCTGATTGAGACTGTACCTTTCCCATATAACAATATGTCCCTTCTGACATTATGTGAATTTGAGAATAAGAAAACAAAGCTTATTTAAGTAAAATAAAAATGAACAGTTAACTGGGGCCCGCGTTGGCGTGTGGTGGTCACTCTCGTGAGGAAGGGTAAGGCGCGCTGTGTTTGTGAGTGAACTTCCCGGCAGTACTGTGACAGCTGGAGGCTTCGTCACTTCGTTTTCCTCAGCTGTGTTCTTTACGGCGGAGGCTGCCTGGTTGAGTGATGCCCAGATGAGTGAGGTGGCTGTGCTAAAGCTGTCCGCGTGCTTCAGGGAAGCCACTTTATTGTTTTTGGCAGAATGAGGAGAAAGGTGTGGTGGAGAGAACAATATTAAGGGCTCAAAAGCTCATCCTGCCACCCATTAGTTGGGTGACCTCAGGCAAGCTGTTTAACCTCACACAGTCCCAAGGTCCTCGTCTGTAAACAGAGGGAAACCCGTGGAGCTGGGCTGATGGCGATGTGACACTGTGCAAGTGAGGGACTGTCCGAGTGGCCAGCACACCAGTGCTCAGTGCACATTGCTTTTCCTCCCCCGTCCCTAGCTCCTTGCAGACCAGCCACCATGGAAGCAACAAGGCGGTGACCCACATGGAACCAGGAGGCCTAGGCACCCTTGAGGGGGGTACCTGGGTCCAGTCCCTGAGACCGCATGCCCAAGGCCCTCTAAGACAACGGCCAGGCTCGCTCTGCCATGCCCACTCCCTGCACTGGAAGTCTGCGCCTCTCCTTGCCTGCACCCATGATGTGGCGTAAAGCAAGAGTTCGTTCCCTGAAATGACAGGCTTCGGTCAGCTAGCCGGCTAGCCATATGGTGAGGCCGAAACACATAGGCAGCCGGCATAAAGTGTGTAGTGTGCTGCTGGACGGCAGTCTTTGTAATTCAAATCTGTTCCCCTCTCACAAAACACATCTCTGATACCTCTCCTCAAGTTTCATGCCATAACTTTAAAACATTTAAAGCCCTGTTCCTCACTAGTAACATTTGGGTGGGGGATAAAGGAAGGATCTTTTATTCCAACCTGCCTTTTTGGGTTCTTCACCATTTCTGAACAAGGCTGTGATATTACCTGACACCAGTTGTGGGTGGGGGGGGGGGCAGATCTTCACTTGTTCCTACCGACAGCTCTGCTGTCCCATGCCCACCCCCCCCCCCACACCCCCCCGCCCCACTGGCTACACCAGTCAGGACAGAGCACCACCCTGGGGAAGGGGGCTGGGCTGCGGAGCCACAGGGTATGGGCCGGCAAAGCCCTCGGCTCCCTACCTTAGAGCTGATGGGGCAGGAATTACCCCCTTTTCCTTTCTTCACTTCTTGTAAGTCAAGGCCTAGAAAGCTCTAATGCCTCAGAGTTAGTGCTATTCATCTCCCCCAAACAGGTCCATCTGGAAATCTTCAGATTTTCCTTTGGGCTCCTAATAAATGATTCTGCCCCTTTGGGTTTCTGGTTCTGTTTGGTTAGTGGGATATTTTGTCAAGACTGGAGTTTGGTCCAGGAAAAAGAACATCATGGGTTTCAGCTGGAGGGAGGGGGTCACCTTGTGCCTCCTTGAAATCCACTCTGCAAACGGTGGCCCACCGGCCATAGTGACTCCTGGTGGAGGGAACCTGAGCTTTAACTGGCTCCCTTTGAAGCTGGAGCAGTAATTGCGGCTTTGATTGCACCAACTTCACTGGTGGGTTGGGCTGCGCTGGGGCTCGCCTGGCCCGGCCCGGCCTCGCCACAGCCTCCCAGTGAAGCCTTAGATGTGGGAAGTCTCCAGTCTCCGAGCGTCATGCCTGTGGTTTCTTGAAAAGACTCTTGATCTGACCAGTTTTATATCTGTGAAGCAACACTGTCAGGCCCCCATCTGTCCCGTCTGGAGCTAAGCCTTGGTCCACCCCGACACCCTCGTATTTATAGGAGCAACCAGGTTCAGACTGCCTCATCTGAGAGCAAGATGGTTCCTTTGCCAATTTACTTAAATGTTGGTTCCACTGTTGGGAAAGTGTCCAGTGGGGATGAGTTGCTTTTCTGGTTGACACTTGTACAGAGGAGTTCTGAAGTCCGCTTCTCAGGATGATTTGTAAAAAGACACTGAGATAATGAAATTTATAGTGGGGAAATGTGCAACTACTTGGAAAGAAATGGCTTTAGTAGATGTTGAGATTCTTTCTGGAAGTATACATTGTCTCTGCTGTAAATAGCCCCTCTGGACAGCCAAGTTTGTTTTAACAATTATGCTAGTACTGTGCTCAGCTCAAAAAGGGAGGTGGGGCTCTTTGGGGTGAGGTCCGAGGGGAAGGACGCCTGGGCAAGCACCGGTGTGGGCTGCGGCAGACTGGCAGGGCCAAGCCCCGCTCAAGCAGTGGGACCGCAGCCGCGGAGGTCTTGACCTCAAGACCTCAGAGTCAGGCTGCGGTTGGGATTAGGGACAGTACCAACAGAGGGACAGTTTGTCCCCCTCAGCCTGCAGACATTCCTGGCTTCTGATGGCCAGTCCACTCTGAGCCACAGCACTTGTCGTCAGCTGCCCTGAGCCCCGAGGCCAGGGCTGCAAGGCCGTCCCTCCTCAGCAGGAGCAGTCCGGAGCAAACCCGTGAGAATCTGGGCTGCAGAACCGCAGTGCCCTCACTGCTCTCTGAGCTCTGCTCCTTTCTCCTGCGGAAGACAGGGTCCTGCAGCACTCTGGTCCTCTAGGGTGAAGGGTCAGTAGGTACCCTGCTTACATTTGGAAAACCACAACACGGTAGTGTGTGTTTTCCTGTTAAACAGGGCAAGGGTAATTTTGCAGGCAAAAGGAACTGAAATTGTCATTGAAGACCTCCTCGGCTGACCAGCACCCTGTGTCTGACTTCCTTCTGTTTTTTGTTTGTATTATTTTTTCGGTAACTACCCAGATATGCAGATAGTTTCTCCAGTTCCGAGGAGTCATTCTGAGGGCCAGCACTGGTGGTGTTGCAGTCATCCCAGTGACAGCTGACACGTTGCCGGGCTCCCTGTGCTCCGAGGGTCTTTGGCCTCTCCTCCCTGAGCAGTTCCGTCTCACTGAGCTCTCTCCTTCCATAAACAGTGCTTTGCAACTGTAACCCCCCATCCAAAGTTTAGCTTTTGTTGTTAAACAGTTTCAAAGCATCCTTCTGTTTCTCCTCTGTTGTCTCTTTCCACTCACTTAAAAGCATGAAGAAGTTCACTGTTACGATGAATTTTGAAAGAAAACTGCTAGTGACAAGGACAGCACAAACACAGAAGGTTGGGATTCACCTGAGATCGTCAGGCATCTGCCTCCCCAAGTTCAAAGCGGGGGAGGCAGGTGCTCTCCCGGGTGAAGGAACCAAACTTTGGGATGCTTTCACTTTCCTTTTGTCTCTGTCTCATCCTGTTATGAAGTTATATTTTATTTTTAATTGCTTATTAAAATCTCAGCTCATTTTGGGATTTGGGGATTTTCCTTTGTGAAAAGTCATTATCATCAGCAATATTAAACAACAATTACTTAAATACTTGTCAAGTGTACATTCCAAGGCTAACATTAGAGATCCTAGTTATCAGGAAGGAAAAATCTTGAGAATTGTAAAACCTTAAGTAAAATTGGAGAGGCCTGTGCACCTTGGACTGAATGCGGTGGACCGGGCACACCCCGGGTGTGGGGGCTTGCGAGGGGCGCGTGCGTGCCCGGGCTAGTTGCGGTACGGTTTGGTCCCGTGTAGTAGAATCACACAATGGGCGCCCACAGCGGACTCACAAACCCACACCCTTTATTCACATGACGGTTCTTTCCCTGATTTGGCTGTTGCCCACCATTACAATCCATGTTTGGCCATGATCCAAAGTATTAAGTGTATTTCAAAAAAATCAATTTCACATCATACATACATTCATACATACATATATATATGTGTATATATATATACACACACACACACACACACACACACACACACATAGACACATACATGGAACCAAAATAAAGATTTCAGTAAAATGTACTTACCTCTCACGTAGTCTGGGGACTTGGGGCTGCCGTGCAGTTTGTTTTAACCATCACCAAATCAAAAAGTGGATTAATTAAGTGCAGAGACCTTAAGTCATAGACTTTAGTCAGTAGAGGTTAAAACCTTTTCAAGGCCTGTGGCAAATCCACATTAACAGCATTTCCTGTGTTCCTTCCTGAGGTGGAAAACGAAGCTCGTTCCCAACGTGCAAAGCCAAGGCAGCGGCCCCGGGACCTCTTCTGGAGATGGAAGCTTGTTGAAACCCAGACTGTCTCCACGGCTTGCCCAGTCGACCCCAAATGAGAACCGACACCAACTTCACTCTGAGGTCACTGTTAGAGACACTGATCCATAGAGACAATCACTGCCAAACCCCCGTTCATCTGCTGCGAGAGCCAAGTTCCAAAATAAAGCGTTAAAGGTTTTTTAAAGAAAATTGAAAAGCACATGAGTCTGCTAGCAGGCCCTGGGCCCGCTGGGCAGCGCGCCTCCCTCATGTCCCCACGCCCTTCCCCAGCATCTCGCATCCATGCCCGTCCCCTTCCGGCCAGGGCAGTCGCTTGGCTGCTGGGCTGCCACCAGCCACTGGGCCCGGCAGCCAGCCCGCCCTCCGCGTCCCAGTGGGGGCCTTGTGGAAGAGTCCCCTCTTCGTCTCGTTCCTCTTCCTTTCTCCCAAGGCTTTTATTTAACAGTGCAAAAGGATCAATCTTAACGTTTGCTTTTTTTAAACTTGAATTTTTTTTTAATTTACACTTTTTAGTTTTAATTTTCTTGTATATTTTGCTAGCTATGAGCTTTTAAGTAAAATTGAAAGATCTGGAAAAGTTTGAAATAAAAATGAAATGGAAAGAAGCCACCTTTGTTTTGAGCAGCATCTTGTCCAGTAAGTGGCTTCTCTGTGAATGACTTGTAACAAATAGTGGCCTCTCTGTCTTCGAAGGTGTTCGACAGAGCTGAATAAACGTAACAGCCAGATCCACTCTGTCGGTAGCAGTGGGCAGTACTACGTATTTCATTTTATTTTTCTTCTGATCTCTTCTTTTTTTTTTAATGGTAAACCTTAACAGATACTTTCAGTAGACCAGTTTGCAGTGAATTTTCATTTCTTCTCACCCCTTCTTGTAAAAAGCCCAGCACTTGAATTGTTATTACTTTAAATGTTCTGTATTTGTATCTGTTTTTATTAGCCAGTTAGTGGAATTTTATGCCACTTGTTAAAATGACCATTGATGTACCCATTTTTTTTAAACAGCAAGGCACAGCCTTCGCCCCAGACTGTCATCTAACGTTTGTCATTCCAGTTTGAGTTAATGTGCTGAGCATTTTTTAAAAGAAGCTTTGTAATAAAACATTTTTTAAAGTGTAACATTTTAAAAGAGTGAAGTTCCTGCTAATCTGGAGTTGGTAATGGCGAACTAAACCCAGGGCCAGGCCAGAGCCATCCGAGGTGCTGCGGGCGCAACTTTCTCCTCAAGGGTGCTTGTGTGGGGTGGGCCTGGCCCCTCGTTCCCAGGTGTGGACGGAAACCAGGGCCGAAGCGGAGGGTGTCCCCAGGATTCAGATGGGACTGACCAGTGGCTTCCCATCCATTGACCTAGCACGAGGACCGCTCATACTACTGGTGTAACCTAAATCTCTCGCTGAAATCCTATCTCCTCTTTCCAACCTTCAGTACAGCTGGGGAACAGCTGGCTACCATACTTGTAATCCTCCACATACTGTACTTGAAGATTGCCGTTAAATCACCCCTCAGATTTCTCCTCTCCAGGCTAAGTAATCCCAATTCCTTGAACCTTTCATCATCAGTCCTTTAATCATTTTTATTACTATCCTCTGGAACCTCTCCAATTCCTCTTCATTTAGTCCTAAACTTGAACCAGGGAGAAATGTCTATTCTGTGTTCAGGGGACCTACTTGTTACAAGGGTTTCATATTCATTTGAAAAATCTCAAGTTTTTTTAAAAAATTTTATTTACTTTTAGAGTTGGGAAGGGAGAAAGGGGGAGAATCATCGTGTGGGAAGTACATCAACACCTCTCAGATGCCCCCTACTGGCCTGCAACCCAGGCATGTGCCCTGACCTGACTGGGAATTGAACCAGAGACCCTTTGGTTTTCACGCCAGTGCTCAATCCAATGAGCCACACCAGCCAGGGCTCTTAATTTTTTTTTAAATGTATGTGAACCAAGTAGGTAAAACTGTCTAAAGCACCCATTGTGCTCTTTTCTGGAGTTGACTAGAAAATCCGACAAAATGATGTAAGAAGTGATATTTAAGTGTTACTTTTGGGGGGGGGGGGGGAGTCGGGGCCGGCAAAGGTTGTTGCAACATATTGATGGGGTCTTCTGGATTTTGGAAAGAAACCCATTAGTGAGAAAATTCTCTCCATCACGTAAACACTTGATACAGATCTGAGACTCGGGCCTTGCCGAAAGCCCACTTGTCTTCTCCCTTGGTTCCTCCTCCTCCACATTTTTGATACAAAAAATGAATAAATGTTGACATGGGTTGTCTGCATCCTCTCTGAACCGGTAGTTCCTCCCTTACATTCAGTCCCCTCCTTTTTCACATTTGCTTTCAGAGTAACTTTTCCCAGAGAACTTGAATGTCACAGTTGCTTTCTTCAGACAGTGGTTCTGGAGTAGGAGAGTCAAGGGCCCCCTAGAGACACCGGCCACGGAAGCTTTCCCGGGGGCCACCCAGCCACCGCTTCTCTCGGTCTGGGAGCCATGAGGCTTTCTTCCCAGCCCCAGGCTCCGAGCTCAACCGTGTGCCCTGAGGAGGAGGGTGGGTCTGCCTTTTTTCTAGGAGCCAACCTTCCTCTTAGGTCACAGTCAGCATGCTGGCCCTTAGAAGGGGTGTTTCCGAACAGTTTCGTGACTACAGCTGTCCTAGGTATGATCGTTGTTTCCTCTGTAGTTTGGTCTAAGGCTGCAACAATGTGGAACCTCTAATCGGGGTCCATGAGCACTAACACGATGTCAGTGTGACTCTCTTCTTAAGAAAAGCCACAAGGGATTCTGGTTTTGGGCTGGGCGTGGTGCACCTACCCCTCTGAGCACACCTCCTTGCGGGCTCGATGAGGAGATCACTGACCTCTACAAAGCTATGGCGAGGGGAACAGAAGAGAGACACCTGGCACACAGGAAATAGCTAATAAATGAATTTCTCCTTGAAATGTTCTGTAAGTGGTTATTAAACATACTTTTTCTGCCCCCTGTAAAAAAATACCATTCTGTATTGCCTATGGCCATATGGGCCATGGAGCACGTGTCCACGGACACGACAGGCAGCCAGGACTAACCAGTCTGTTCTGCACCAAAGACCAAGGAAATACAGAAAATGAGCAGTTTGATTTGTATTGAGTCATCTATGCTGATTTGTTTATAAGTATTTTTCTTACTCTGCAATAGCTTGTTACTCCAACTTCCATGCTGAAGCTTTAGGATGACCGCCTCTCTTCGCCCCTCCAGTCTCCGCCACCCACAGCCCCAGAACAGCAGGGATGGGGAGGTCCAAGCCACGGTCAGGAACCTGGAGTGCAGAGTCCTTGGAAGGCTGCAGTCACTGCGGAGGGGCCGGGGCTGCAAACTGCGGGTCTATGAATGAGCCCTGCCATTCCCCAGTGACTGCCCGGCATTTGACATGCCTGTGATTTCTGTAAAAGGCCCCTATAAACTAGTGCTCTTTCTTAGCAAGAGAAGAGTAGATAACAGAAAAATCAAGACAAACGCATTAATGACAACCACAGGCCTGTGAGTGAAGAATGCCATGCCAGCTATTGGCAGAATCCACAAGAGACCGAGCGCTGAAAGGGCAGCTGGTCTGAGACCAGGGTGTGTGTGGAGAAGCACGAGTCTGTCAGCCGTGCAGACTCGGCCCTTTACCCCTCCCTCCCGAGGGCACCACCTTTTCATTGGGGGAGCAAGAGCTGCCCACCTGGGGAGCAGTCTGCTGGCGGTCGTCTCTTCCCGGGACTCGGCCCACAGAGCTGACTGGGCAGGGCCAGACAGTGGTGCTCCCACCACACACCGATGTGGTGCCATCGCCTCCCTTTCGAGACTTGGACACGGAGGCTAATGAGCTAAACGCCAAAACCTCCACATGGCTCCAGGATGAGGCACGTAGGGCTCAGTACTTCAAACTGCCCCAAGCAGCTGCTCAGTTCAAAAGTGTCTTCTTCCCAGCACTGGTTCTGGAAGCTTCTCAGTTCCGTCCTCTAAACGCTGTGCAGTGGATGGCTGTTTAAGAGGAAGCAGGACCCAGAGCTCTCATTCTAGGAGGTTTTCCCTTCTAATACCTGCTTGCCTAGAAACTGACTACAGGTTTTGGGTGGACCATCCCAGTAAGGAGGCTGAGGTGTCCCACGGAGGCCGGGAACACCACACCCACGCAGCAGCATCTCCAGGGATGAAGGCCCGCATCGTCACCCACCGCGCAAAGGGGCTTTGCCTTGACAAACTGCACTATGGGAGGGCAGTTTCTCTTCTGTCCACATTCCACCATTTCCCTAACTACCGTGCTAGGGAAACTTGGGGACCCTCTCTCCTGTATATTTGCTTTTTCTCTGGGGCCTTAAATTACCCAGTCTACCCTCCATACATAAAATGTGACTTACTCCAGCACCAGGCGCCTACTGCAGCTCACTGGTTTCCTGTGTGCTCTTCCCTCCCGAATCCCCCTGCCAGCACCTCCCCAGAAGTTTGGGAAGATCTTCCACAGCGGCTGGAGGTGGGGTGTGGATCTCCAGCACTTATCTTTACCCGGGTGGACCCACAGCTGAACTTCTAAGATGCTTTTATAAGACTCTTGGCTGTTCCCAATCTTTAGCACTCTCTCCTCGAGTGTAAGATGTTCAGGCTCTCCGTAAGCCGTAGGCTGGGAAGGAGCTGTGCCTTCCTTCCAAACTGGGCAAAGAGGAGGCTGCCATGGTTGCTGTGTTATGCAACACAGCGTGCTCAGTGTGTGATGCCCACCATGTCGTTTGGTCTTCAACAGCCCTACGGAATCCGGGCTGTCATTCTGCCTATTCTCCCAGACAGACCAGAAGACGACCCCCCAGGACTACACAGGTAAAGAGAGTGGAGCTGAGCACTAGAACCCAAGTCTGTTTAATTCCAAAGCCCACGGTATTAATCATTTGCCATGTTGCAGAACTGGTTGATTCTGCAACAGCTACATTTGGTGAGTTTAAATAAAACAGTGAACTGGTATCAATTATGGGATTTTTGTCTTTCAGGAGTTAAAATTTGTTCTGCCATAGAAATAAAAACTGTGATTACGAAATATTGAGACTGATTTTAAAAATAGAATTTATACAACCAAATGAGTAGAAAACAGCAATGCTTCCATTGTTCCAAGTATTTTTGTTACTATTTATATAGCATCAATGCCTGTTTACAAAAAAATTAGTCCCACAAAATTATAGTCACTCCTTGTATTTTTAGTAGATTTAATTGGTTACTTTGGTTGAAATGTTAAAAGGATTAAAATCAAGGCGGGACAAGACAAAAGCCTGTTTCAAATGTGTGGAAAGTGTAATTGAAAAACCAAGAGAGAAAGCAGAAAGTACGTTGTATAAGCCATGACTAACATATTAGTTCTACCTTTTCTGTCAATTAGTGGTAGAGTCTGCAACAAGCTACTAAAAGCTGACCTGTTAATGAATCAGAAAACTTTCTATATAACAACACTCAGTGGGGAATCCATTTATACCAGTTTCTCAGTTCCAAAATCTGGTCCCACCTTGCCCCCATGCTGTGCCAGTTAATAATCCCCAAAACAGAAATAGAATTTACAGTGATATCAAAAGAAGCCAGACAACCTTTTCCCCACATGAAACTGTTATTAACAGTGAATGTTATGCACATTGAAAGTCCACAATTTTTATTTACAAAGATGTCTTCCTAAGCATTAAAACCATTCTTCAGGGAATACGGACTTCCGGCCAAGATGGAGGCATAGGGAGATACGCTTTGCTTCCTCCCATAACCACAAGGATAACAACCAGTTTAAAAACAAAAACAGCCCTGGCTGGCGTAGCTCAGTGGATTGAGCATGGGCTGCAAACCAAAGTCTCGCAGGTTCGATTCCCAGTCAGGGTACATGCCTGGGTTGCAGGCCATGACCCCCAGCAACCGCACATTAATGTTTCTCTCTCTCTCTCTCCCCCCTCCCTCTCTAAAAATAAATAAATAAATAAAATCTTTTAAAAAACAACCAGAACTGCCAGAAAATCAAACTACATGGAAGTCCCACAACCAAGGAGTTAAAGAAGAAGCATTCATCCAGACTGGTGTGCCAAGACAAAGAAATATGGTTCAAATGAAGGAACAGATCGAAACTCAAAAGAACTAAGCAACAAAG